GTTATCAACCCCGATTAATTAGGAACGCGATTAAAAAAATCGACCCACTTTCTGGTCACGATGCTGACGTGACGAGAAAATAGGTTAATTTTCGTAATAAAATTTGAAGTAGGTAGAAATTTGGGAATAAAATTGGGAATATGTTTATTTTGAAATGACTATTTTAAATTTTTTATTTATATCTTAATCTATCCTAATCATAATCATATCTTATCCTAATCCTATGTGAACCATGTTTAGCTTAACAATTTAAAAAAACTAATATTAATAAAATATATAAAACATAAAAATGATATTAGTTTGTTAAGATAAAGAAATTACAAGTAGATAACATATTATAATACATGAAGTATTGCAAAAAAACCATAAAAAGTTTTAAAATTGCAGAAAAGACCCTGAAAAGTTCAAAATTATAAAAATCATCCCAATGTCTCAAAACTTAAAATAAAAAACATGAAATTAAAAAATTAACATCAGTTTGCAAAGAATTTAAAATTTACAGTTAACACCTCAATGTCTCAAAAATTATAAAAATACCCTCAAAAGTTTAAATTACAGACACGCACATTAAAATTCTAAAATTTTAAAACTTACAAACAACACAGTTGAATTCAAGAGATTACCATGATACACCTAAAATTTTTGATATTTACATTTAAATTTTTTAATTAACACCCTCAATATCTCAAAAATTATAGAAACACATTCAAAAGTTCAAATTATAAAAAACCACCCTAAAATTCTAAAATTTGTAAATAACATAAGATGAATTCAAGATATTACCCTTAGACACCTAAAAAATTAAAATTTGCCGAAATTAACCTCAATTTTTTTTAAAAACTCCTTCAAAATTTAAAAATTGTAAAAAAAAACTCTAAATTTTTAAAATTTTTAACTAGCACACATCAAATTCGTCGATTGGTAGACCGCTAAAATTTAATATTTTCTAAAATTAATCTATAGTTTTAATAATTACAAAAGACACCCTCAAAATTTTAGAGTTACAAGAAATATACTAACATTTAAAAAATTACCACCAACACATGAAACATAGAATTTACAACTACCAAACTTAAAAGTAAATTTTTTAAAAAGCTCTTTTAAATTTTTAAAAATTACAAATCACACCCTCAAAGATTAAAACCACAAAAATGGGCTAAAATTTTAAAACTTGGTAAAGAAAAGTGTAATTTTTTGGTATTTTTCATATATATATATATTAAAATTTCTAATTTAGGGATTTACTATCCATTTTCAGCATCTAAGAATAGTCTAAGTTGATACTGGTAAACAAAAACAATAAGAATTGATTAAAAACATCCGGTTAATGGATAAAATTTTTAAAAATATTATAGATTAAAAATTATCGGCACTATATAAATTAAAGTAATTTCATATAATTTTAGTAATAAGTTGGGGTAGCCAAAATACATTCGTAACATTAATTGATAGATGTTTAAATCCATAGAAATGATAAAACACTATAATATTATACCTTAGCATTAATTGATTTTAATTTAGAAACTTTAATCTTTGACGTTAATAATATTTATAGGGTAAAAGAATACAAGGAATTACATATGGAGAAACTATTAGAATATTTAGAGATAACTTTAAAAGAATTGAGTTATTTCCATTGCAAATGGGAAAGTGATGGAAATAAATCTAAAATTCAGAAAACGTCAATGAATCACTTGAATTGGCATTAACATAAGACATATCTATTAATGAAGCACTGAATGAGTTACATTAAAAAATAATTTAATAACTTTATCCTAATCAAAGAAAAAATCTCCATGGAAGACATAAGAAAAATTAGTAAGTATTCATAAATTCCATACTGTGTTCTTCAAATTAAATATTAATATTATAATCTAAGAGAAATTAGTAATGAATAATGCAGGTATTTATTTTAGATCTTTATGAAAAATGATAAGGATAGAGCAAAGGTAATATTATTGAAATAACAGAAATTCTTATTGGATGCACATCAGAAGAATTCATTTTAGAGGAAAATAAAGAGATAGCTTCTAATTTATTTAAGTGCTCATATGGGTGTGTGTAACAATGAATTTCAATAAACACTTAACTCAATAAGAACTAGCAATAAGATTGATATGAAATACAATAGTAGAAATGCTAGGAAAAGAGTTAAGGAAACTTCTTTATAAACACAAAGAGAGGATGAAAAAATGTTGAAGATGAACTCTTCAATAGCTGATGTGAACTCCTCTTTGTAACAGCAAATCCAAAACAAACTTAAACCAAACTAAACAAGCTTAAACCCTTGTTTAAAAACTTCTTTTAAAAACTTCTTAGCTAGATAAAAAGAGATCAGCAATGGGGTATTTATACCCACTCAAGATCTCAACAAAAACCCCAAGCAAAAGACAAAAGAGCCCCCAGAAAACAGCTCAGAAAAATAGCCGTTGGGAACCAACGGATCTATTGGCGGTCGACCGAAAATATTCGCGGTCGACCGCGAAGAACAAAAACACGAAGAACTGTTCTGGACAATCGTCGGTCGACCGGTGCGGTCGACCGATGGAAAATATCGAGCTCTCGGTCGACCGCATCGGTCGACCGACCAACTCTCTGCTGCATGCTGACGAGAGAACAAATGAGCGGTCGACCGGTGCGGTCGACCGAAGACTGACACAGCATAAAACTGATATAAAAATAGATTTTTGAGACTTTTGAAAATATGTTGGAAATAACAAATGAAGTCCAAAAATAATAAAACTTTAGGAAATGTATATAAACATGAAAACAAACATGTTACAAAAAGAATTTTCCAAATTGCATTTCCCATTTGTGAAAAATCATCATTTTGCAAAATAGTCCAAAACTTTGCACAATGATTATATAGACTTAATAAAGTATGTATATGATTATTGTTAAGTCCAAAAACTAAGAATACAATATTTTTATAAAATTGCATATTCTATGCAATAAATACCAAAACACAATAGTAAATATGAAACATGTGATTTCATATTTATAAACATGCAAGTGGGTCCAAAGCATGAAAACCCATAACCATGCATGTATATATATAACTATATATATACATACAAACCAAATACGTGTGTGTATATGATATTGAGCTTAAGGTACTTAACACACATAATATAAAACCTAAACTAAGTTACCCAAGCTAGATCTTGATCTTCAATAAGCTCTTCTTGGTAATCTTGCGGATGAAGCTTGAACTTGGATCTTCAACTTGAATATGCATAGCTTCAACCACTATTCCACCAACCTCCATTGGATATGATCGTTGAAGCTCTATTCCATCCATCCTCCAATATATTGTTAGTCTATAATAAATAACAAAATACAAGCACTAGACAAACAATATTAGATGTAAATTGTTTGTTAAATCATCATCAAAACAAGAAGGCCAACAAAAACGTCAATGAATCACTTGAATTGACATTAACATAAGACATATCTATTAATGAAGCACTGAATGAGTTACATTAAAAAATAATTTAATAACTTTATCCTAATCAAAGAAAAAATCTCCATGGAAGACATAAGAAAAATTAGTAAGTATTCATAAATTCCATACTGTGTTCTTCAAATTAAATATTAATATTATAATCTAAGAGAAATTGGTAATGAATAATGCAGGTATTTAGTTTAGATCTTTATGGAAAATGACAGGGATAGAGCAAATGTAATATTATTGAAATAACAGAAATTCTTATTGGATGCACATCAGAAGAATTCATTTTAGAGGAAAATAAAGAGATAGCTTCTAATTTATTTAAGTAATAAATTAGGAACACAAAGAATTTTATATATATGAAATTAATATTTATTCTCATTGAAATAGAAAAAAAATCAAAGTCTATATTTTGAGCAGTTTGTGTTGAACATCATAAGTACATTTGACTTCTTTGTAAAGTTAAATGAGATGATAAAAAATTAACGAGCCCAGGAAAGATAATAGCATAAAAATACAAAATAGCCTGATGTCACAAGTGATGTAGATGATGAAGACAATACTCTAGAATTGCCCGAGAAATGATAAATGATAAACCTGAAGAAGGATTGATCTTAACTCAATAAAAAATAAAATAGAAGAAATAAAAAACAATATTTTTTGAATATTTTATAGAATAGTTTAATTATTTTGAGTGAAAATATGAATCTTTAGAAGGGAGTTTCATGAATTTTTTTTCAGTATTTTTATATTCTTATGTGGATGTTTTTATCGTATAAAAGTATACTAGAGTTAGCATTAATCTTTAATTTATATTTTTTTATGAAGTCTATCAATGATTAGGAATAAACTTCATATTCTCTTTTGCATCGTTTTAACATACTTTAAATCAATCATTTTGCCATATTGGTTTGAAATATTCACCTTCCTTGTATAACACTATTTTAATATTTTTCACTTTGCAATACTATACTTTCTCAAATAAAGCTTAGTTTCATATCGGTCAAAAATAATATGAAAATTCAAATTATTTTTAAATTATATTTGTTTTTTGTCAATTCAAATATCAACATGAAAATTTAAATTGGGTGTATCCCATTTAAACAAACATAAAAAAATAATCGGGATGTAAGAGTTTAAAGAAAAAAATGAGCACAAACTGCCAAAAATACTTAATCATGGTATTAAATCACGTGCATTGCACGTGTATAAAAACTAGTATATATATATATATATATATATATATATATATATATATATATATATATATATATATATATATATATATATATATATATATATATATATATATATATATATATATATATATATATATATATATATATATATATATATATATATATATATATATATATATATATATATATATATATATATATATATATATATATATATATATATATATATATATATATATATATATATATATATATATATATATATATATATATATATATATATATATATATATATATATATATATATATATATATATATATATATATATATATATATATATATAAGAGAGGGCGACGATGGGGGATAAGTCGGAGGTCCTAGAGGCCGTCCTCAAAGAAGCTGTTGATTTGGTTGGTACCCTCATTTTTGATTTCCCAAAATTCATTTTTTGATTTTTTATTGATTTTATGTGTACTTTGTTTTGGGATTTTTAGGAGAATATACCAATTGAAGAGGTATTTGAGAATCTGAGATGCAGTAGGGAGGGGCTCAGCAGCGAGGCTGCTCAGGAGAGGCTCACCATTTTTGGACACAACAAGCTCGAAGAGAAGCAGGTTTGATCTTTTTTTTTTTTTGGCTAAAAAATGTGGTTTTTTTTATGGTTTGTTTTGATCCGAGACTTGGGTCTTTTTTTTTTTATGCAGGAGAGCAAGTTCTTTAAGTTCTTGGGGTTTATGTGGAACCCTCTCTCATGGGTCATGGAGGCTGCTGCTATTATGGCCATTGCCCTTGCCAATGGAGGGGTGAGAATTATTACCATTTTATTGCAATTTATAATGTTTTTTTTTTGCCTTCTTCTAGAGTGGAGATTTGGATAGAAAGACTCCTAAGAAAGTTGAGTCACTTTTCTTCATTGAAAATTTCTTTTTCTTTTTGAAGGGTAATCAAGCTATGTTTTTTCCCCTTTAAGCTTAGTCTCTTCCTCTTTTGTTTCAAAATTTTATGTAAACCCATTTTTTGCTTTATTCTTTTACTTGTCACAGTCTCAGATAGCTCAATGTGTCTAGTGAGGAAATTTAAATCAGCCAACGTGGGAAAAGTCCATCCCTTTGATGGCTGATTTTCCTTTATTCCTTTTTTAAATTTCATTAATTCTTCTTCATGTTCAGCAATTTTCACTGTATTACTGTAATCTGAACAAAAGTTTGTTCTTTTAAATTATAATAATACAAAAGCATACAAAATGAAGCTGATTTTTTTAGGCGAAAATTTACCTTTCAAAATTCTGTTCATAAGTTACCAGTTTTTGTAAAATGTTATTCATCAGGGGAAGCCTCCAGATTGGCAAGACTTTGTAGGAATCATAACCTTGCTGGTGATCAATTCAACGATCAGTTTCATTGAGGAAAACAATGCTGGCAACGCTGCGGCTGCCCTCATGGCTCGTCTTGCTCCCAAAGCAAAGGTTTTTAAAATTTTTGAAATTTCTTTCACTTCTACTTTTGAGTTTATATGAACAAGACATGGTTGTAAATTTAAAATGGAACATGCATAAAAAATCCTAAGGTTTTGAGGGATGGTCGGTGGAGTGAGGAGGAAGCAGCTGTTCTTGTCCCTGGAGACATTATCAGTATCAAGCTTGGGGATATCGTCCCTGCTGATGCCCGGCTGCTTGAGGGAGATCCTTTGAAAATTGATCAGGTTCTTATCATCATGTTCTAGTTTCTGATATTTTAGATTTAAGTATGTTTATTTGTTTGAGCTGATTATTTTCTTCTCATATTTGTATCATATAAATAGTCTGCCCTCACTGGAGAGTCTCTGCCTGTAACAAAAGGTCCTGGGGATGGTGTGTATTCTGGTTCAACCTGTAAACAGGGAGAAATCGAAGCTATTGTCATTGCTACAGGTGTTCACACTTTCTTTGGCAAGGCAGCACATCTTGTTGACTCCACGAACCAAGTTGGTCACTTCCAAAAGGCAAGTTGGAAACCTAAAAGCTCTTGCAGATTGATCTTTGATATATGAGGAATGACTTCTTGCTTTTCGTGTGATTTAATAGGTTTTGACTGCTATCGGGAACTTTTGTATATGTTCAATTGCGGTTGGAATGTTTGTAGAGATTATAGTCATGTATCCAATCCAACATCGAGCCTATCGTCCTGGAATTGACAATCTTTTGGTTCTTCTCATTGGAGGGATTCCAATAGCTATGCCCACTGTTTTATCTGTTACAATGGCAATTGGATCTCATCGCTTATCTCAGCAGGTTGAGTGGAATAGTTTGTTGCTTCCTTAGAATCATACTATCTATAGAGATTATATTCTGGATGATAACACGTGCTTCCTTAGAATCGTACTATCTATAGAGATTATATTCTGGATGATAACACATGATTTCAGTTAAAAAATTTAAGCTTTTCCTAACAAAATTTAATGATTTTCTCAGTTTGAATTGAGACAACTTGTGTATGGTACAGGGAGCTATAACAAAAAGGATGACTGCTATTGAAGAAATGGCTGGAATGGATGTCCTTTGCAGTGACAAAACAGGAACCCTTACTCTGAACAAGTTAACAGTGGACAAGAACCTTGTTGAGGTCAGTCTTCATTCTTACCATGAGAAGTCATCTTCAGGAACTAACTAAACAAAAAAACCTCGCTTTCTCTTGCATGGACATTCTGAAATCTGTTATTTCAGGTTTTTGTAAAAGGCGTAAGCCAAGATGCTGTTATATTAATGGCTGGTAGGGCATCAAGGGTTGAAAATCAAGATGCGATCGATACTGCTATTGTTGGGATGCTTGCTGACCCAAAAGAGGTAAATCTAAGTTAACCATATACGTAGATTTGTACATGCTGGAAGAAAACTGAAGAACTAATAATCTTTTTATCATATCCATTGTTATGAAAGGCTCGTGCTGGTATTCAAGAGGTACATTTTCTGCCGTTTAATCCGACCGATAAGAGAACTGCCCTAACCTATGTTGACTCGGATGGAAAATGGCATCGTGTCAGCAAAGGTGCTCCAGAACAGGTAATTGCTTCACAAAACTCATTCTTTCTTGTTTCTCTGTATTTTTTGTAGATAAAAACTCCATAATTAGCTATAAATTTGTCTTGTAGATTTTAAATCTTGCACACAATAAGTCAGAGATAGAGCGCAGGGTCCATGCTGTGATTGACAAGTTTGCAGAGCGTGGACTTCGATCGCTTGCTGTAGCATATCAGGTAAAACATTCCTGTTGTATTTACACTTCTTTTCTGCGATGTATAATGATCTTTACTACCAAAAAATTGGTGTATATGGAGACACAGTAGGACATCATGTCTATCTATCTGTCTAAATCAAACACATACTTAAAGTAACCATTATTTAACTTACACATTATTATAAGGTGAAGTCATTTATGCATCATTTTGAAAAAAGCTTATTGTTTTGTGGACCATTTATTAAAATATTTCATATATAAGAAACAACCTGAGACATGCATGTATAGGAGTCAAATATGCACATAGCTGCGTCTGCTCATGCCTGAAGTTTGGACGATTACCTTGTCCTACAACCTATATGTATGTCAAAGTATGAACACTTTTGTGTAGCTGTCTGCAAGTTTCAAAACTTCTTCTCTTTCATGATCTAGCAATTCTTTTATTTATGTCGCATTTGGATGATTTTTATATGCCTTGATCAGGAAGTTCCAGAGCGAAGTAAAGACAGTCCGGGAGGTCCATGGCAGTTTATGGGTCTCATGCCACTTTTTGACCCTCCAAGACATGATAGTGCAGAGACAATCCGAAGGGCACTTAACCTTGGTGTCAATGTCAAGATGATCACAGGTTTTATTTATTTATTTATTTGAGCTTTTGACTTACATTAAAAGTCAAATCTGGAGGCAAACTGCTGTATAATGTAGTGGGACATTGTACACTAAGTTGTTTGTGATGCAAAAGATCTTTATGAGGAATTTGACATATTAATGGATAGTACTTTGTCATATTCCAGCCATTAGACCCCTTAAGTAATGGAAAGAACAATTGGCATCTTTATGGTGCGAAATCAGATAAGTTATAAGTTAGATGGTTTGACTATCCCAACTAGAAAAATCTGATCATTAGAGAAGGTTAGAACAAACCTTAAACGCCTCTAAAGCTACAAACTAGGAAGTCCAAATTAGAAAAATCTGGTTACTGGAAGATGTTAGAGCAGCCCTTGAATGTTTTTCGGCTACAAACAAGTAATGATGGGCCATGTCATTCTCATTCAAACAATAAACAGGTATTCCCCTTCCATATTTAATGAAGTCCTGTCCCATGGTTTTCTGTTTTTAACGACATAAATTCCTGAAGAATGAGCAAAATAAAAGTAGTGTTGTATTCATTTGGAGGGGGAAAAGAGTTTCCCCCTAGTGACAAGGGATAGAAGGGCTACTTTCACCTGGTGTGGAAGCTCTGACAGGTTTTAAATCCAAAACCAAGTAAGCAACCTGAAATTCAACTGAGCTTGTGATATGAGATTTCAGTTTGCTGATGTGCTTTATTTGTTGATATACTAAAATTTCAGAGATATGAAATGGTTTTTCTGAAAATCTTGACTGTAATAGATTTTTATGTGACATGTCTTAGATGTTCCGAGATTGATGCCTGTATTGGATAATGGTATTTACATATTTTTATGTCAATCATCTTGAAGAACATCTCTGTCCATCAATTTGTTCACATCTCTTCCAATTTTCAGAAATTGACTAAGTGAGGCATCTTTGTTCACTTATAGGTGATCAACTTGCAATAGGAAAGGAAACAGGCCGTCGTTTGGGAATGGGCACAAACATGTATCCTTCTTCAGCTTTGTTGGGCCAGACGAAGGATGAATCAATTGCAGCTTTGCCTGTAGATGATCTTATAGAGAAAGCTGATGGTTTTGCCGGTGTATTTCCAGGTATCAGTGTTGCTAGTAGGCTTACTTTTACTTTGGCAGTATTTAATTATCATTCTTTTTCTTTTGCAATTATCAGAACACAAGTATGAGATTGTCAAACGGTTGCAAGCAAGAAAGCATATTTGTGGTATGACTGGTGATGGTGTTAATGATGCTCCTGCACTCAAGAAGGCGGATATTGGGATAGCAGTTGCAGATGCTACCGATGCTGCTCGCAGTGCTTCTGATATTGTTCTTACAGAACCGGGCCTGAGTGTTATAATAAGTGCTGTCCTAACCAGCCGTGCAATTTTCCAGAGGATGAAAAATTATACAGTAATTATCATTATATTTATAAAAAAGCCTCACAACTTACATGATTTTTTTTATTAAAATGGTTTTATATTTTTGCAGATTTATGCAGTTTCTATTACCATCCGCATAGTGGTATGTTCCTGTTCCTTAATGGTCATGCATGATTCATTTCTGTAATATCGTGAAATGGAGGGTTATTGGTTGTTTAACCTTTTACCAGTCTCTGCAAGTTCTCTCTTTAAGAAAAATCTAAGTAGTCACTTCTTGGCAGCATTGTTGTGATGTTGGTACTCGAGTATATAAATAGATGTTTGTAATTGTATGTTGAGCTAATTAAGATATTTTCAAGTGTTTTTAATCTTCTTTGTTGTTTGAAAGAACTATTCATTTCCCCCCTCATCTGTTATAAGCACTTGTTTCAACTCTACAGCTTGGATTCATGCTTCTGGCTCTTATATGGAAGTTTGACTTTCCACCCTTCATGGTCCTCATCATCGCCATCCTCAATGACGGTAATGTTATGTTCCTAGTATATTTACATCATCTGGTGTTATTTATATATCTTGTTGTCAGTTTAGTGGTCTGTGTTTTTTGGTTTCTGTAGTCTGTATTTTTTTGTTTCCAACATGAACCTGTCCTTAAGTGACCTCTTGTTCATTTAGGTACTATCATGACAATTTCAAAGGATAGGGTGAAACCATCTCCGTTACCTGACAGCTGGAAGCTTTCAGAAATTTTTGCCACGGGGGTCATTCTTGGTGGTTATTTGGCCATGATGACGGTCATTTTCTTCTGGGTTGCATACCAAACTAACTTCTTCCCGGTATATGCACTTCTATACTGAGAAATAAAATTGTCTAGAAAATTTTGTTGTATTTTTTTCTACTGACACAAAATATTTTCTGCTTCTTGAATCTTACCACCAGCGTGTGTTCCATGTGGAGAGCCTGGAGAAAACAGCTCAAGATGACTTTCAGAAACTCGCCTCAGCAGTTTATCTACAAGTGAGCACCATTAGTCAGGCTCTTATCTTCGTGACCCGATCTCGTAGCTGGTCCTTTGTTGAGCGGCCTGGTCTCCTGCTCGTTGCAGCTTTCTTCATTGCTCAATTAGTAAGTTCTCTATTTTTTCCTCTGAAAACGATATCATGATATTGCCCTTCTCAATTAGGTGCTGCAACTTGTCAGAGATTTCTGTGAGAACTGTTTGCAATTACAGTACTGCTCGTTGCAGCTTTCTTTGTTGCAGGAAATATAATTATATTGCAAATTAAGTGTTTGTTTATCTGCAATTGTAAATGATCTATATTTTCTCAGTTGGAACGTACTAAGTTAACAATGCTGCATTGATTTTTTTTCATTTTTATGAAGTTGAAATTTAATTACCATTCTCAACTATCTTGTTACTAACCAAACGTTGGAAATGGAAACTTGACTGCAACATTTGCATGCTGTATTTCCTGTCAATCAATCAGCCCCCTAAATACCATTTCTTTCTGAATTTATTTCGAAGTATGTTGCTACTTGCGTAGGTGGCTACATTGATAGCGGTCTATGCTGACTGGGGATTTGCTGCCATCAAAGGGATTGGATGGGGCTGGGCTGGCATCATCTGGCTGTACAATCTCATCTTCTACTTACCACTCGATATCATCAAATTCTTAATCCGCTATGCTCTCAGCGGGAGGGCATGGGATCTTGTCATTGAACAAAGAGTACTATACTGTCTATTCACCAGCTATAACCTTGTCTTCATCTTTTATTGATTAATTAATATTGACTTTTTCCTCAATGGCTCAGATTGCATTCACGAGGCAGAAAGATTTCGGGAAGGAAGCAAGAGAGCTCAAATGGGCACATGCACAGAGAACTCTTCATGGACTTCAACCACCTGATACCAAGATGTTCAATGATAGAAGCAACTTCACCGATCTCAATCAGATGGCTGAAGAGGCCAAGAGACGTGCAGAGATCGCAAGGTGAGAACATCTAGACCTTTACCTTGAGTAACTAATGTGCAAATATATAATCATCGGTATTTATAAAGGGTTGATTGCTGATAGAACCCCGGTGCTATCACCCAATCGCAGATAGAACCCCCGAGTATTTTTTGACTCTTTTATTCTCAGGGGGCTTTGTCAAAAAAAAAAAAAACTTTTTCTGAGGGTAAAAATAGGTAATTAAAAAAATTCACTCAGGCGGTCTACCTAACAATAGAACTACAGGGTTCTATCGCAATTAACTCTTTTTAAAGTTTGAGTTTTGGCTGTTTTTGTCTTAATTTCTAGCTTTGCTTATGTGCAGGCTCAGAGAACTACACACACTAAAGGGCCATGTGGAGTCTGTGGTAAGGCTCAAGGGTTTGGACATTGACACAATTCAGCAATCCTACACTGTCTAAGTTCGATACAGATATGAAGTATTAAGGCCATTCGGGTAGATAGTAAGCTCACTTGTGGCTTGTGGAGCATTATTTTTCTATATAATCTCTGGTTAGAAGCGAAAATTGTTGTCCAAAAGCCACCTGTAATCTTATACATGAGTTATGATTGTTTATATACTAGTCTTGTAGAAAGAATTTGTTGGATATGCTTATGTGACTATGAGGGTTCACTTTGGCCATTGAGAGGTCTGAAGCGCACCTGATTTCTTTATCCTTTCACAAATTGCTTCGCCGAAGGCAAAAAGCTGTGAATTTAGGATGGTCAGGTGTTATCATGTATGCGCTTATATTTGTTTTCAAACGTACACAGGAGTACACTGATGACGAATGCTTAGTGTTGATTTGCTTTGATAATGGGACAAGTGAAGGAGGTAATGAGCTCATCATGTTTACTGACATTTTAAGTGTGTTTTTGTGTTATGTGGATAATATGATTACAGCGTATGAATGTAGTTGTATTGCCTATACTGGTACCTCTAACGATATGTTCAATCACTCTTCATCTGTCGACAAATTGTGAAATCCTGGTTGCTGGGGATGCGGAAGGACATGCGCAGATGAATATACCGGTAATATAGATGCAGATTGGATAGCGTTTTTAATATTTGGTTGGATGAAGGTAAGGATATGAATACAAAGTAAAATTGTCTTATTTTGTATCCGAATATACGTATCAATTAGACTAATGGAATTGCTGACTCTATGTTATTGCATTTGAAACAGGATATTTGATTTCAACTTTTTAGGGTATATCCAAAATATTTATGACTTTTATATGAGAATTTTTTATTTATTTAAAACATGTATCATAATACCTATACATTTTCCAAATCCCCATTCATAGAAGATAATTGAAGAGACGATTCATGGTTTGTATTCGAAAGCAAAACAGGCGAGAGAATCTATCTCGAATCAGAGACAACGGAATTCAACCTCACTTGGCTGCATTTAGCAAGTCAGAAAGCAATAATACAAATCTAGACCTCTGCTATTGTATAAACCTGCAAGTGAACTTGCCAAGGGAAATCAAGAGGAAGCTACTCTTTCTAATCAATCTCGATGTATACAAATATGCGTACGAACTTGCCAAATTTTTATATGGAATTGATTCCAGGGAGAGTCACTGGTCACTCCTCACACCCAGAATACATTGTGCAAGATGAGTCAAGTACGGCTCTGCTTGTGAATTGTTGCTCAAAATAGGCACTAGACTCTGAAGCTCAGCATTGAACTCCTTCTCAAATTTCCTGTTGCACGCAGAAAATCTATCATTCTCCATAATGCTGCTAAAAGACACTTGAGAACCAGCACATTTCGGAAAAAAACTAAAAGGTCTTAATTGCACATAGACCCCCTTGTCGGATTGTTGTATTGAAGTTACTAGCTCTATAGTTTCATTTTGGCAGACAAAGTTTCCTGAGTGAATTTTTCTTAAATCATTTACCCTAATTAAAATCACTAATTTCACCCAGGGGTAATACCTACTAAAAATTCACCTAGGTAAAGGAGGAAAAATTTAACCCAGAGGGTCTATCTGCCAAATTGAAGCTACAGGCACAATATGTACAAACCAGTGGCAACACAGGGGTCCTATGTACAATTAAACCAAAGTAAAATGGGTATGGATACTTACAACACGGATTCAGAGAGAGTGTTGTTTTCCGCTGCAGTTTTTAGTGACCGATTACTAGATCGTGCTGATCTTCTAGTTTTAGACTTTCCAACTCCAAAGGAACCATTATCCATGTCAGAAGCATAGGCTGCCGGTATCAGCAACTGTATGGAGGCCGCATATTGTAGGCATATTGATTTCAGTTTCTCCACCTTCTGCTTTACATAGGTTAAAGAAGAATTAAAACAGGGAGAAAATATTTTATGAATAAAAAATTTAATTGAAGCCATCAATAACCTAACGTCAGCTCGTGCTGAATTAGGGTTTGAATAGAAGGCTGGAAGTATTAGTTATTTCAGAAGGCACAGCATGTTGATTAGTAATCTACGCAGAGCACTGCATTTTATATAATTTGTAACTGGAAAGTGTGCTCTTAATCTATATAGACGTGAAGTGATGCGGAAATTAGTATAAAGAACAGTTGGATGGTTGGTTATGAAATATGATACACGAACAAGTCCTTGGGAGACTAAGATAAGAGTGATTAGGATAGTCGAAACTTGAAGGGTACCCAAGAGGAAGAAAATGATAAATTTTCCTGGCTTCAGACTGTCAGAAATGTGAAGTAACTGCTACAGTGATGCAGTTGATGTCAGAAATGACAAATTTTCCTTGATTCAGACTATGAAAATGAAAAAAAAAAAAAAACTCATGGATCTTTTTTGGAAAGATAGGTGTGAGCAAACTTGCTGAAAACTTGGGTAATAGCCTAGTCTCAGTTCGAATTTTATAACTTGCTTGATCTACGTCAAGGGATGTGCTCGTGGCCTATTCAAGATCTAAAAAATCACATATAGACGGTGCTTTTATAGAAGCAAGAATAATTCACAAAGTTAAGCCTAATCGCCAAACACATGTGGATGTCCCTGATAATAACTTCAAGTTGGTGATAAAGCCCAATTGCCTAACCTTGCTTGAAGACTTACTAGATGATTTGCAAGGCTAGCGAAAATTCAGTTTATTTTAGGGTATGGAAGGGCTTGGGTCTTAGCTTAAAGATGAAAATCAAGGCATGGATGACCTGGGCCAACCAGAGCTTGACTAGCTGATAGTCACACTATGGGAGTGTGACCAAACAGAGAGGTACCTGTCTATAAACATTAGGTATTGCTCAGTGGAAGTATGAATCAGGTAAATATCAGAAAAGTATGTATCTGGAACAAGATACTTATACGAAAAACATTAATTTCTTACAGAGAAACAAAAGTGAAACAGAAGGCTAGGCAGAAAATTGACCTTCAGAACTTGCGGCAAGAGAAGCAAGCATTCCTTTAAGCATTTGTGGAGGTAGAAATCATGGAACTGGATGACCTGTATTACAGAGTTAAAAGAAATGTACTATCAATTAACTGCACACATATCTTTATATCAAGTAGCACACAAATGCAAACAATATGTGGTTGAGCAAAGGAATCTCAAAAGAAAGAACCTCATCTATGCTTTTAACAGCTTGAAGCCTATCATGCATCAAATGCCAATTTGGTTCGAGAACCTGAATGTGATAGATAAAGAATATTAAAAGATTCCAATTGAACTGGTGCATATGCTACATAATAATGACAAGAGAAAAAATGATCACCTCAAAGGTTAAGTAATGCAAAAGGCTGTTAATAAATTTCAGCATGCTACGACAGAGAATGGAAGATCGCGAAATGGGGGTGCCCATACTGTGGATGGTACGAAATCCCTGCAACATAATTTCCCACATAGACATAAAGAAAGAAATACTATTCATATGGTAGAATGATATAAACAAAAAAGAGTATCATACTTGATGTAATTGCCATGCCACACAAAGTTGGCGATTGACATGCTTACAATGGAACAGAAACCGAAAAATCAGCTGATATTTCGTTAAGGCCTTTCTTGAAATAATAAGTGACAGTGGCCATTGAACCTGACATTTGATTATCCTGATTTAGTTTAGAATCTGAAGAACAATATTTAGCGCTGCAAGAATAAAGGAAACTACCTTGTAACTCAAGGAGAATGTTTCCAAGCCAGTAATGCTAACTGGATCCAGCTGGTCATCACCTTCAAAAACTAGATTTGCATAATTTGAAGGATAAGAACTTTCCAAATCTTTCAGAGTGGCCAGTTTCTTGAGCAAAGAAACTCTTTCCTGTAGGGATGAAGATATTAATATAGCAGCCAACTATTTCTTGCAATTTTCAGCACTAAAACATACCACACAACATGTTAACTCCTCGTGATAAGGATCCGCCACAGCAGCAGTAGTGCGCAAAGCAAGGTCAAGGAGAGACTGTTACATTGTAGAACATTAAAAACAAATTTTCTGCTGCACTTGAATGTTGGAAAATCAGAAGATAAGAGGATTAAATAACCTGCAACTTTTCAACAGAAATCTCTTCAGGCCTCTTAGCAAGCTCGTCTCGAGCAATGTCCATAAAATGAACCAAGAAGTCACCCTGCAAAAAATACGTTCAGCAAAGAGTTACATTACAGTTATAATACTTCAAAATCTCCTGTAAAAACACAATTAGCATTGACTGATTATTTTAACAGTATCAGCTTAAATTCATAACACCAATATATAAATTTAAAAGAACAGGGTAAGTTACATAGAACTCTGAAACTGCATAAAGCTATAACTAGAAAATGACAAAAGGATGAAGGAATAAAATATAGTGCAAAATTACAAATTTTCATAGTTTTATATGGCTTTTCCGTTCGTCACTCCAGGAAAGAAACATTATGTGTCACAAACAACTAATTAATTCGACGGCAGATAGATATAAAAAAGACACATATATCTAAGTAAGATGCACTAGACAGTAATTTACCATACCACTAACAAATAGAAAACTAAATAGAGCAATGCACGTGAAAAAGAAAAAAAAGCAATACAAAGTATATTGTGAATCTCAGATTACTGAATAAGAAAGCATCATACATCTAAATATTTTGAGTGTGTGATAAGCAAGTTGTACTGATGAAGATAAAATATTGGAGTACCTGGTCCAGAAGGAGATAGCGCTTCAGAGACCGCAGCTTCCCAATTAGGTCATACTGTATAAACATTATGATTATCTTTAAGGTTAACAACTAGCAAAAGAACTAAGATATAATATGCAAAGGTACTTAATAAACAATAGGTTTTTGAAACTAGAATAATTCAAGAAAAATTGATATCAGAAACAGATCAATACCATATCCCACCTTTTCTTTTATGAGAGTTAAGAGCTCGCCACTTGCAAAGTCATAAGCAGTTTTAATGCATTCAAGATAATGATGGTTAGATCCAAAGCTCATCAATTTTGAGTTTTCTGTTTGAGGGACCTAAACATAACAAAGAAGTGCCTTAGCTACTGAACAAATCTTGTTTACAGTTGCTTCAGTAAAATGTGTTCTCCGTGTTCACAGGGACAAAAGTCTGCAGTGTACCTGAACATTGTGTCCACATTCTCTCATTACATTTAAATACTTTCCAGTTGTCAAAATTGTCTCTGCAATGCCAGCAAGAAAGCTAGGAATACCATCTTTAAGGCTATACCTTTGACGCCAAAACTTGGCATCATAATCCAGTGTGAGGCTTTCCTGAGAAACAAAAACCAAAGAGGCTTAAAAAGTGGCTATTGCTGCAGGGTGCATGAAGAAAAATTCGAAGAAAGTACCTTTTTCAAAGACTTGTTCTCAGCAATGAAAAATTCACCGTATGGATCATCGATAACCCCCTCATAGACCCATCTACATTCCAGTACAGCAGGGAAAATATTAGCATAAAATCACAAGTATAGCAAATAAATTAATCAATTCATGCTGAACATTAATTAAAAATAATTTACACATAATTCTGAGAAGATATTGGAACAAAGAAAGCACAAGTACGACTCTAGTCTAGTGTACACATAATGGAAGTTTTTTTGTAGAATTTACAGTTAGCTTAACAACCTGGAGCAATATAGAGATATAATTGACCAAGGTCTATACCATAGATACCTTTCCAATATTCCCATATATGCAGAACTTGCACGCTGTGTCATCTTTTCCAGCAATGATCGAACTGCATTATCACCGGCCATAGCCTTGGACTGCAATAGGAGTAAGATAATAACAAGAAAGGAAAATACTAAATAACTTTGGGTATTATGTTACAAGCAATAAACAACATGTCTATTTTTAGCTCTCAATGAAAAGAAACAAAAAAAAAAAATCTGTAACCACAAATAGGCACACATTTACATAGACAATGTATAAAAATCAGAAGAGGTGTGAAAGCAATGAGAAAACTTGGGCCTCAAATGAAGACTTCAGAGATATTTACCTGGCTTTGCAAGAGGTTAAGCATTGCAGAGCCTGAAACATTGCTTGAAGATGCCTTCTCAACTACAATTGACAACGCATGCAATGATCCCATCATTGGCTGCAAGTTAGACAAACAGGAACGTAGCAATTAAAGAAAAGGAAAGTGTCTACTAGCATGGAGAGTTCAGTAAGGAAAAATGTCTGACCTGACAGTAAAACCACAGTCCTTGAACAGAAAGTCGTCCAAGACGGAATTGGTGCTCCAGTTGCGCTACCATGGCCTGATAATCCTGTTGTAATAAGGGGAAAAAAGACAATGCTCCAGGTTTCAATGAGGATTCACCCAGATCCCATTCACTAAAGAAACAAAGAGCCAGCAGGTAAGAAAATTAGCTAATTAAAACCAAAGTTGCAAAGTATCACAAGCTACATAAGAACACGCTTGTGAAGTGTTGCAGGCTTGCAGCCCCCATGAATAAATTTAGCGCCTTCATAATATTTGATAGTATGATCATAGAAATGAAGATAAACTTGTCATCAAAGAAGAATCTCATATTTCAGAAGGTCCAAGGCAAATGTAGATAGCTGTAAAGAAGCTTATGAAGAAGATATATTAGCTTGCCACTTGGTATAATAGCTCTTCAAGAAAGAAGCAAAGCGGAATGCTGTGTTTTTCTCTTATAATAGCATATCCATTAACTCTTTATATCATACTTCTTGCAATCAAACGACAAGAAATTTTTTTAAATACGAGCAAATCTTAGATTCCTTAGTGGCCTAGTCATAATGTAACAAATATGCAGAAGATAATATTTGTGTATGCCACACAGCTTTACTTTAAAAAAATTGAAAGTACCATCTAAGAGAAAATGATGATACATCTTTTTGGAAGGGTCAAGGACGTAAAGGAAGTTTAATTACTTGACAAGTAATATATTAACTCTTTATGCAAGTAAATACCAACGAGAACACACTAAAGTTACTTGATGGAATTACATGTGTTGGTTATTTAATGATGTCAACACTCGGACTTAAAAATAAAACTACAACACTCGGACTTAAAAATAAAACTAACCTATGGAATCCAATTGATACCCTCTCAAGTAATGCTAGTAATTAGTAACCCAAAAACTTTATATGCAGTCTTGAAGATCTAAGGTGGCCTTCAATGAAATAATATCAGAAACCAAAAGCATTTAAATGCAGTATCAACTGGTAAAAGTTCCATGTTAAGATAATTTACCAAGAGGAGTGCTCTAAGAGCCGCAGCAAATGCATGGTTGACCAGTCCACTCTTAAAATGCGACCTGGACTCAACAAATTGACTGATAAGTATATAGTCCTCACAAAGAGGAAATATTCTCTGTATTATTTCCTGCACCACGAAGAAAATAAAAAAACGATTAAACCCCCCTTAAAGTTTTGTCACACTTAATGCATACCAAATCTTCTACATCATTTGGACCTTACCTGGAGAGCAAAGTCCATGGACTGATCAATCTGAAATATAACATGACCTTCTCTCCCACGGACTCTCTTTATCGAAATATATCGTCCCTCGATTCCCACGAGAGCCGAGAGCATATCATCAATGACCAAAAGCTCCTACGTACTCCAATAAATAATCAAACCAGCTCAAAAACCCTCTTTTGATCATAACAACCAAGTCAAAAGAGAAAAACAATCACCTGAACTGAAACAGGATAAGATCCGACGACATTATGGGTTCCACGACTGCAAGAAACCAGCTTAAAACAAGCTCGAACACTAAATGCAGATGAAATGAAAGCGCTCGGATCGAGAAATACCTGCCGGAATCCATCGAAAAGGGCCTATTAGTTGAAGCATGAGCTGGGACCTTGATTTCCTTAATAAAAAAAAAAGGAAAAAGAATTAATTAGGAAATTCACAAAGAGAGATCGAGGAATTCAAAAGGAAAACTACCTGATGAAACCGGCCAGTGAGAAAGGGGCGTTCGAGATTCCATTTTGGAGTCGCAGGGCTCGAATCCATTGCAATTGACTGTTTGAAATCTGCAAACCCCAAACGAGACTTTTTCCCCAAAAATCTTACGAACTGGGCACCACAAGTACTAAACTAAAACCCTAACCAAACACGACAAAACTCTAAAATTTTTCTGAAGCCAACCTTGTCGTCGTCGCTAAGGGGCCGTCGTCTC